GTGGACATGGCCGGGGGGCCAGAGCCAGAGGGACGAGGGTCACCGCGGGGCCCTGACCGTGGACAGTGACCAGGGGGGCCAGAGCCAGAGGGACAAGGGGACACTCGACTGACCGTTGCCGGCCTGGACGGTGGAGGGAGGGGCCGTGGGCCTGGAGAAGCCCGGAAGGACGAGGAAACGGATGCTCCCCCGGAGCCTCCAGAAGGAAGTAGCCCTGTGATGCTGTGAGCCTGGCCCAGGAGGCCTGGCCGGTCTTCCGACCTCCAGCCCGAGTGGATGAGGGTGCTGTGTAAGCCACCGAGCATGGCAACTGTGACAAAAACCCTAAGGGAGTCCGTGTCCCTCGTGGTGTGGCTGAGGGCTGAACTGATCACACTGCTCCCTGGAGCACATAAAGGGGAGAGACCAGTCCAGAGACCGTGGAGGAGTATTTCCAAACAGTGGCCCTGACACCCGGTATTTGTCAGGAGTCTGAACTGAGCCGCCCAGTGAGAGAAGACCCTGTGTGGGGGGTTCTCGGTAGAAGGAAGGACAGAGCAAAGGGCTCCGAGGGGCAGAAAAGGGCTGCTATCTCTGTGAGTGCGCCTATGGAACCAGTAGCCTGGGAGACACACTTCGCGGCCAAACAAGCTTTTAGAAACTCAGCATGCCCTGTGGCTTCAGGTATTCGTGACGTCCACCGGCACACTAAGGCTCTGACAAGTCCTGCAGGAAAGAAACCTGTTCAACTTAGCTGCACTCAGGACTGCCACGTTCAGGGACAGGCAGCCTCGTCACCTGATGTCCCAGTGCCTGCCCCACCTGCCCTTCACCAGCTACCTCCTGGTGTGGAGGAACTGGGAGTCTCACCTGCGCGAGTGGCTGACGTGACTTACCTGGCCTGCAGGGATTTTCCCAGGCCACCACGCGATCGCAGGCTCCCGCATCCCACCTTCAAACGTGGTCTGCTTCCCGCACAGAAAGGGGCCGTTGCTACCACCTAGGAAGACAGAGTCGTCATGCACCAGATGCCTACCCTGAGTCCCCAGGGTGGCACCCACCCTGCTGGCCACTCGCTTTCAGGAGCTGTCCGTCTGTCACAGCCTGCCCGCCACCTTCCTGGCCCCTCAGGAATGACGCTCAAGTTCAAGGTCACAGGGCCTGCAGATCGTGTGGCAGTATTGCTGTGTCCCTAAGGCAGTGCGACCGCTCAGAGACAACGTGACCACTGCCGTTGGCCAGAGGGGCAACACGGGTCCCAGGGAGCCCTGATGGGGTTCACGGCTGCCTGCAAGGCCCATGTAACTGAGACATTCGCGTCTTCCCGTGTCCCGTGTGCGTGTGGGGAGCCTGATTCAAATGTGTCGGCCCCTGGGTCCCCCGGTGGGTGCTCCGTCGAGCGCAGGGCAGGTTCTTTTTCTGAGAAGTCCCACTGTGAACCACGCGTGTGGAAGGGCTGGGGGGCAGGCAGCCCCGGACAGGCTGGCTCGCTCCCAGAGCCCAGGACAAATGGTGCCCTGCTGCCTGCCGCCAGCGCCCGCGGCCTGGAGCTCCCGCAACACCGGCCCCCGTGACAAACGGGAGGGCTGTTGTCCCTCCCGGGCCGGCCCCGAGCCCCGCCCCCACGTGCGCGCGGGCAGAGCCAACGGAAGAGTAGCGAAGTGCGCGTCAGGGCAACGAGCAAGCACAGGTAGACGGAACGCACACGCGAGAGAATCGCGCAGCACAGCGAGGAGGACCGATGTGGCTCCTTCTGGGGGCTTCACGGGTCCCACGGGTGCTGACGAGGGTCCACTGCTTGTCCTCCTCTATTTTGCACGCTATGAGGCGAGCGTACGGATTTACATTCTTACAACTAAGCACGTGGATTTTGTGTGTGTGAACCATTCCATGCTTTAGGCACGAAGATGGGACACTGAAGCCCAGGCCTGGGAGGCTGGTGGTCAAAGCGAGGGCTGGCCATCGGGGGCTCTCGGGGCACCGAGCTGGGTAGGCGCAGCAGGGACAGTGGCATCCAGCCAGCCCGGGGCCTTTGCTGGGGGGCGGACAGAGGGTGTCGCCCTCACCTCTGGGACCATCAGCTGTACGGGGAGAGCCTGCGTGAGGACAAGATCCCTCCATGGGCCGTGGATGGCACTCCTCGGGACCCCAGACCAGCCAGGCCCAGACTCTGAACTGCTGTTCTGTCGCCAACATGATTCCTTCTCAGCTTGAGCCCATCTGACCCCGGAAAACCAGCCGTAGGAGCCCCCCCGACTGCAGGGTCCCCCGCACCTCCCTACCCAGGCCTGTCCCCCTGGGGTTTCCTGCTCCCCGTGGCCTTCCTTCCACAGCCCTCTGAGTGACTCAGGGCCCTGCTAAGGCCCCAGCCCCTTAAAGGAAAATGGGACAAAGAGACGTGCCACGGGGGGGGGGGGG